ATTATTTAGCAAAATGTTATCTAAGATTTTCGACTTTACACATTTAAATGAAACTAAGCTCTTCGGATACTACTCATTTTTTATTATTTTATAATCCCGGTGTTTCGGTCCCTTTACAGCAACCATGATCACGGGCAGACGAGATGAAAGTGACACTTCATCAAGTAGATATAAAATAATAAAAAACTCTTCGTCACCGACAAACTTGGCTTCATTTAAATTTTATAGTAATTCAGATGATTATTATTTAAGTTTAAAAGCATAAATAACGAATAATTAAAATGTAATTAAAAGAAAATATAGTTTCGTGAAACAATATTCACAGTAATTGATAGCTTTATAGAAGTACTAGTTTTCAATTTTAGTTGATAAAAGCGAAAAAGGGTAAGATGAGAAGAACATTTTCTCAGCACTATCTCAACTGACGTTAAAACTAGTTTAAAATTACATATAATACACACAACCCCTAACCAACCAAATTAAAATCTGTTCGTTTCGTATGTCATAACGCTACCTATTTATATGTTACTAGTTTTTGCCCGCGACTTCGTCCGCGTTAGTTTGGTCAAGAGTAATATATGTAGGTATAGCTGACCAGACGAACTCTATTCCGTCTTAGAGGCCATAAATAATCAGGTTTTTCCTGTTTCAATCAAACAGAATGATTGACATATTAGTTAGTTGTCAAATCTAATGTCAAAAAAAACGTTTGTATGGGAAATAGAATAGGGCTGTTTTTAGGGTTTTCCCGGCGATCATTCCAATTATTATTACCTTTTAAACCGCCCCTGGACTTCCAGAAGTATTTCAAGACTAAAATTAGCCAAATCGGTTCAGCGGTTCTCGAGTTTTAGCGAGACTAAGGAACAGCAATCCATTTTTATATATATAGAAGATATACCTAAGCTTAATTTCTCAATCAATCATTTTCAATTACTCATATTTATGATCCATAATGAAAGCATGTCAGAACGTATTAGACTTGGACCGTTGTTTTGGTTTTTCTTCTTTCTTCATTTTCTCCATTCATTCTATAATAGAAGATCAGTGTGAGAACACCCTGCGACTTAAGTCCAAAATCTCTTTTACATGTTCTGTTTCATTTTCTTAAATCTTCTATATATATAAAAATGGATTGCTGTTCCTTAGTCTCGCTAAAACTCGAGAACGGCTGAACGGATTTATCTTATCTTAGTTTTGAAATGTCCGTGAAGGTTCAGGGAAGGTTTAAAAGGTGAGAAAAATTTATTCATTTCCGGGAAAACCCTAAAAACGGCCCTTTTCTATTTCCCATACAAATGTTTTCTTTGACATTAGATTTGACAACTAACTAATATGTCAATCATTCTATTCAATTAAAAACAGGAAAATCCTGATTATTTATGGCCTCTATGACGGAATAGAGTTTGCCCGGTCAGCTATACATATATTAGTAATGATGAAATTAACGCGGACAAAGTCGCGGGCAAAAACTAGTCTTTATATATTTTAGAGTGTAAACGCGTTCAACTGGTCGCCAACCATAATTTTTCCATTTAAGATTAAAAAGTACTCTTTCTCCTTACTTAATTTCAATCAATTATATTTTATACATTCTGGATGACAATATATTTGTAATACATATAATATCGTATCAAATGTCAAAACAGCTGTATACACATCAGAAATGAAAAATATTTACATCTAGGAAACAGTTGAAGTCACATACATAGCATTCTAAATTCAGAATGCATTGAAAATTCCAGATGTAGGTTGTAAGGAAATGGAATAAATCTCAACGTATACCAACTTATCTCAACAACTGGGGCGAAGATTGTTCAACCATGACTTTATTTCCGAGACGTGACAATCTGTCAACTAAAATGAAAGATGGCGTTAAAGACTATCAAACGATTAATTCAAAGCGCATATTATATACAGGGTGACTAGAAGTAATATTTATTAGGATGTAGGATCCATAGTATTGATTCAGTGAACTTAGATAAATAAATAAAAGGAAATGAACACTTCTATTTCATTCTATGATCTAATAGTTTGTTATTAATATTTATCTTTTTCTATATTTTTTTACACAACTTATCATCGGCAACTTTTTTGCCAGAACCCTCTTTTGTGTGCCCTATTTATATGGAATCAGAGTTAATACTGACTCATCAATCACATCATTAAGAACTTTACCTCAGTAACTTGACGTGTGTCATTCGTTTTGCCCGTCTGTGATGTGACAATTCTGAGTTGGTTGAAATACGACAAAGCTGGTTGCTCTTCATTTGGATTTTCTAAACCAATTTTATACATCCCCGACAATTGTACCTGCTCCTCCTAACGAATGTTCCACTGTTAGGTTTCAAAAGGTCACCTTACACTCGCATGCTTTCCCTTAGTGGGTTTTAATGACACCTGAAAAGGATCTGCCCCATACTAAGGCCGAAGACAGCACTATTACTTATAAACCATATGAAGAAAATAAAAGTATTTTTAAAATTCATAATATTTGTTAAACACTAGTAAAACTTTTTACACGTGAGTTTATAATAAAAAAATATATGAAAATTCTATGTTATTAATTTCGTAAATGTAAAATTATCGAACAAAATAGGAGTCTAACAACGTACGCCTGCAATCTTGTTAGTTCCTATTTAATTACAACGCTTTGAGAAACATTTTGAAGCAAATCGCATTAAGGTATCAGAGCCGCTTTGATTTAAAGTTGCGAAACTGGGGAAAATTATTATATTAATGAATCAAAAAAATTATATTCACTACGAAAAATTAAGCATTTAGCTCCAAGAACTAGAAATATATTAAATAATAAGATTTTATTTTCAGTTCCAAAATTTGTTGCGTACATTCCGATCCCTATATATTTCTTTCATAAATTTAAGCTGCACATTTATTTAAATAATTAATAAGATTTCAAGTAGGTTAACTTTTAAGAAAATATCGAATTTATAGTATATTTAAATAACAGTTAATATTTAATATCTTATCTTAATAATATTACAATAAAATCGATAAGCTGTTTTTCTTGAATCGCTGATGAAAAGGTGAAAAGATTTATTAGTTTTCTGTTATTGGCTGAGCATTTCTTAATATATTCTTTGGATATTAATATTCAAAAGGTGCCTTTTAGACTTCATAAATATGAATTTATTAAGATTATTTTTGTTTATTTTTATTGCTAGAGATGGTTTTTCATATATAAATGAATGTATTTGAATTAATATTGATTGTAAGGAAATAACAAGCAAAGATGTATACCATCTTGGTATGAATCTTTATTTCTGGCTTATTGCTTTCAAAAGACGGAGATAAAATTTATTTATTCAAGCGATCTATAGAATATAGATGATCATAAGTCAAGGATCCATTCATTTTGTGTGAAATCTTATAAAATAAAAACTCTACGCATATTTGATATTCATCAATTAGTGGCACACACCACTTGTTTGAGTAATTGTAAGTCAAAAGTGAGTTACTTGATATTGAAACAGCTGATACTTTTTTTTTATTTGAAAGGTGGCAAACTAGCAGCAAGCCTACTCTTGGTTAGTAGTTAGGTCATAATTATAAGTTTGAAATCAGCAACCCGTCTTGAGCAAGCGTGAATTAATGCATTCCCAAAGAGGGTTGCTGTCAGGCAGGCGGGCGGTCATAAACACAATTAGCCAAAAACTATTTACAACATGTAAAGCAGACCTTGGCTTAGTCTGGGAAATTGCCAGGAAGAAGAAGAAGATACATCCATCAAAGTCAAATTTATAACACCCCTCTTTTTGTATCAGGCCTTGTACAAATGGCAGGCAGGCATGTACAAATTAGTTTAAAATGTTCTCATTTCTTTATTATCATGAGTGCATTCGTTGTTATACAAAATGGACTCTCATAGCTTTATAACGACTAAAAGAACGCTCCAAAATTAACATTTATGCGTCCCATTCACTTTAAGTTCATAAAAAGTAATGACCAATTTCATTATCGTCGGTCGTATAAAAAGTATGTTCCCTGAAATTGAATATTTGTTACAAATCTGAATGTTTGTACATAAAAGTTGTTGGTAATCATGATTTCTATTAAAAAAAGTATTTTCTTCTAAACCATTTAAATATGACCTATCAAAATGGTAACAGCTTCTAAGTTTCTTCAGGCGCATTTTCTAAAACCCCTTTTCATTTTCTATCATTAGACATTTCTTATTAAATTTATCACACTATTGTCATTCTAATTACACAAGTCATTGAGTCGATTTTGCCTTACAAAATTTCACTGTTATTACTGTAATATTGTGCTGCTTCTTTCTTAATATAAGTGTTTTTATTTACGTTATAAATATATCAATGACAATATTATAATTTGAATCATGGTTCAAAAATAATATTATTATTATTTTTATATGACATTGATGCATCACACCCAGATCATTTGTTATCATTACTGCCAGTGATATGTCATCGTTATTTCTATGCAATTGTGAAAACAAATCGAGCTCCAAATAATGAATTAAATCGATGCTATATTTTGTTATTTTGGTAGAATCATTGTATCAATCATGGCAGAATCATAACTTTAATAATAAATCTGATAAATTATAAGTTTCCATTACACTAAATACTGATTGTCTAAAATATAAGGAATTAAAAAAACACTGGATTTGTCCTGAATGCACAATAAATCAACCCAGAACTGCGAGAAACGACAGTACACCAGTGCGAGTGCAGACCAATGAAAGTAATGTAAACTCGCGTAGAGGTGCTGCTTCTTGTATATATGAGGATTTTGTTTTGGATTCTGCTGATAAAACATCTTTTATTGTATTGATTAGATCTATAATCTCAGAAGAATTAGCCAGTTTAAAAGGTGATTTTAAAACTTCTATGTATCCCATTCAAGAAGAGTTAAAAACATTTAAAAAAGAATTCGAAATAATAAAAGTAAGTTTGGATTTTATAAATTCAAAATTTGATGAAATTAATAAACGAATTGAATGCTGTGAAGGTGAAATGAATGTTTTAACTCAAAAATGTATGGAAATCGGTAAGCTGTGCAGTTCTGTGGAAGAAATTGAATTTAATAATAATAACCGAGAACAGTGGGCCCGAAAATCTAATGTTGAGGTTTATGGAATTCCAGAAAGAAAAAATGAGAACCTGATCTCGTTGTTGCAAACAGTTTTTGATAAAACACACTTACAATTTAATATAAACACGGATATTGACTTCATCACCAGAGTCGCTTCTAAAAAGAACGATGTGAAGAAATCTAAACCGATTATCGTGCGTTTTATATGTAGATGGAAAAAGGATGAATTTTTGTCTGCGGTTAGGAAACTAAAACTGAAATGTTGTGATATAGGCTTCAATGGTAACAATAATTCAATATTTTTTAATGACCACCTCACTAGTCTAAATAAAGCCTTATTGCAATCTGTTAAGAAAGCGGCAAAAGATAAAGGTTATGAGTTCGTGTGGGTCAAAAACTACAGCATTATGGCCCGGCGTTCTAACACGAGTCCGGTTTTGCATTTCGTGAAGTCTATTGATTTAAAAAAAATTGTATAAGTAGCTTTGTATGTCTTTCTCAAATATTTTATATTGTTTTATTTATGTTAATAATTATGTTATTGGAATCAAGTATTTTGAGCACAGCTATGGGACGTCAGATTATTTTATGTTACTATTTTGGACACGATTTTGGACATAAAAAATTATTGGTATTAATATCTAACACATACCTAAATATGCTCTCTCCTGCGAATGTATTTATAAGGACTAGTAACATGATAATTATTCCTTGTGTTTACAGTGATTAAAAACTTTGCAATTTTATATCAAAATGTACGCGGCTTACGTACTAAGACTAATTCCTTTTTCAGGAAAATAATTAATGTTGATTATGATATTGTTTGTTTAAGCGAAACATGGCTTTGTGAGGGTATTTTTAGTGAAGAACTTTTTGATTCCAGATATTCGGTGTATCGACATGATCGTAACTATGATAAGCGCAGTGATAGTATGGGTGGTGGCGTTTTAGTTGCAGTGAAGTCTGACATATCGGTTCGTTCATCATTATCAATTGTGGTTAAAAATCATGCAGCCGAGATAATTAAGGTCTCTATCGTACTTGACTTGGAACCCATATCAAGACGATTTCATGTTTATTGTTGTTATTTCCCTCATGGCAGTTACCATAGTGAATGTCTTTGTGATTTTTTTGAACTTATTTCAAATGAAGTACTATTGTATCCTGATGATATTTATTTAGTGGTTGGAGATTTTAACATATCTAAAGCTGTTTGGGATAGAGTTGGAGAATTTATGAATCTTCGTAATTTTAATGATAACGACCCAGGTATTGATTCCATATTTAATTTTTTAAACTTTACTGATTTTAAGCAGTTTAACTGTGTTCCTAACGTTAACGGACGTTACTTAGATCTAGTAATTTGTAACACTCATTGCACAGTAAGCCCTAGTGACTTTTATCTTGTTAATGAAGACGCTCACCATCCGACACTTAATGTTAAATTAAATCTTTCTAATACCACCCAAAACTTTTCAGTACCGCGTAAAATTCGCTTATTTCAAAAAGCCAACTATGATGAAATTAATAACATTATAGCCAGAACTGATTGGTGTGACTTATTGAGTTCTTGTAGTGTTTCCGATGCCTTTGATATGTTTTATGATACTATTAACTCTATAATATCTCAACATGTTCCAACAAAAGTTATGAAAGGTGATAAACATTTCCCCTTTTGGTATTCTCGCGGATTAATCAAAATTATTCGTAATAAATTGCACTTTCATAGGCGATGGAAGATCTATGGTCGTTCATCCGACTACGACACTTTCAGTCTTTTACGGGCTCGTCAAAAACAAGTGCAAATTGATTGTTACGACACATACATATATCAATCGGAGTTAAAAATTAATAAAAACAGCAAGTTTTTTTGGACTTTTGTTAAGTCTAAAAAGGCTGCTGCTGGTATACCTGATAATATGTTCTTTGGGAATGAGTTAGGTAGTGATGGTAACAAAATATGTCAGCTATTTAATGACTATTTTAAGTCGGTGTATGCAGAGCCTGTTGATAGCTATAGCTCCCCAGGAATAACATCGAGTAATCATGCCTCTTGCTGCAGTAATTTATCGATCGGTTTTGTTACACTAAGTACTAACCTCATTAAGAAATATTTGAAAACGTTACAAATAGACAAGGGTTCGGGGCCGGATGGGTTGCCGCCTATTTTTTTGAAATCTTGTTGCGAATCTTTGTCGTATCCGCTTTTAATATTATTTTCTAAGTCGTTAAGTTCTGGAATTATTCCCGACACTTGGAAGCGCTCTTATGTTGTACCAATATATAAATCCGGTGACAAGCATAATATTGAAAATTATAGGCCAATTTCAAAATTGTCTACTATAGCGAAGCTCTTCGAAAAAATTGTTTATGACCAAATCTACTCTTGTCTTAGACCAATGTTAATTAATCAGCAACATGGGTTTATAAACAGAAAATCCACGGAAAGTAACCTATGTGAATTTGTCCATCATATATCTACTGGAATGGATCAAGGATACCAGGTGGACGTCGTGTATACCGATTAGCCCAAGGCATTTGATAAGATACCACATGCATTATTAGTACATAAACTTGAGAAAACCGGTATACATGGTGATCTACTTCGATGGCTGTCTTCTTACTTGGAGAATCGTAGTCAAGCTGTAACAATTAAGGGACATACTTCTTCTTTCGTGCCTATATCTTCCGGTGTGCCCCAGGGCTCGCACCTCGGTCCTCTACTGTTTAATATATTTATTAATGATATACTATTAGTTTTCGAGAATTCAAATATTCTTCTATATGCTGATGACATGAAGATCTTTAGACGAGTAACTCAAACTTCTGATTGCATACTCCTACAAAATGACCTAGACAAATTATGTAAGTACTGCTCAGACAATTATCTGCATTTAAATGTAAGGAAATGTAACGTTATCTCGTTCACTCGGAAAACTAAAGATATTATTAACTTCAATTACTATCTAGACAACAGTATTATTACACGAGTAACCGAGGTGCGAGATTTGGGTATCTACATTGATAGTAAATTAACATTTAAATCTCACATTAATTATATTACAGCTAAAGCTTACCGAATGCTGGGATTTGTTTTAAGAGTTGGTAGGGTTTTTAAAAATGCAAATACATTAATTCTATTATATAATTCGCTAGTTAGATCAACCCTTGAATATTGCTCCACTGTTTGGAATCCCTCACATAAATGCCACGTTTTGCAATTGGAGAACATTCAGCGCAGATTTAATAAACATTATAGTTATAAGTTTTTGCCGCAGTGTCAGAATATTTCACACATTACGTCTTTGGAATACCGTCGCATGGAGAGAGACCAAGTGTTTTTACTTAAGATTCTTCAAAACTATATTGATTCACCCTTTTTGCTACAAAATATTGGCTTTAGATGTCCTAAAATTAAAACACGTAATCAGTCCCTGTTTCACTTACCTTTAACAAATACTAAATATGCTCAAAATGCTTTTATTTTCCGTGCCTGTCAGAAATATAACAAATGTTTTTCAAATATAGATTTATCAATGTGCACAAAAAATAGTATAAGGAAAGAAATTAGCAAAGCTTGTAATTCGTAATTAATTTATCTTAAAATTGTTATTATTATTGTTATTGTTATAATTATTATTATTATCATTATTATCATTATTATTATTATGATTATGATTATTATTATTATTATTATTATTATGTTATTATTATTATTATTATTATTATTGTTATTATTATTATTATTGTTTTGTGCTCCAAATGAAATTGTAATTGGTGGAAGCTTTTTGGTCTGTGTACTTTTATATGTTTTATTTGATTGATTTTTTTAATACTGTTTGTTTCCCAAAAAAAAATAAAAATAAATAAAAAAAAATAAGCTGAAAATAAAGTTTTACTTTTTAAAACGAATAATTACTTTATTCCTTTGTTCCAATTCCAATGGATTATTTTAAAATATTGAGAAATTTCATTACTAATTTTAAAATATGAGGATTATCATTGTATATTTTATCAAATTTTATCCTTGGAAATAAATTTTATTAATTTTATGACAATGACAAAACTATAGATACCTCTATTCTATAAGCAATTAATATTGAAATTTCAAACACAAAATTAAATATTATTAAATTTAGTCTTTTTTAATCGTATGTCATTAAATTTTTTCCAAACGACTCGACCGATTTGAATGAATTATTTATCTAAATTTTGCTGACGAACCAGAAGTTTTGATGAACTAATCATAATGGCAAATTTCGCTGCAGTCAATATGAAGGTCAGTTAAAATAAAAAAACTGCAACGTAAGTTACTACTTGTATTGCTTCAACACATTTTATAAATTTCTCTCTTCACACAACGCGCACGGAGTCGCGGGCAAGAACTCGTTTAGAATAAATTAACATTATTCGTTCGCACTTTAAAAATATTGTTCGTTCCAATTCAATTACATGAAGCGAAGTTTTAGCATCTGAGTTATGTTCTACCGTTTTATAAATTATAATTTACGTTCGAAACATCTGAAACTTTGTAATTGATTACCTTGTGTTCTTGTTATAACATGAACGTTTGTACGGCAGCGATATGCCGAATATATCGATTCCTGCAAAAGCTATTTGAGAGAATCAATGATTATTTAAAATGTGACCACACTTAGAAAATAAGTTAAAGAAAACACGGTTTGGCATGCATTTTCATTTAATTTTCTACACTTTTAACAAACTATCTAGTGAAATTAATAATCTTACAAGCTTGTATTTAGCAAACAATGTGTATAAATTTTGGACTATATTACAAATAAATTTTGAGGCTAATATGTGTGACGTCATTCCAAATACAAAATGGCGGAACCCTCAGGATAACGAACGATACATTTCTAATGCACACCCTCGATAAAATAAAAGGGCTTATGGAAAGGGACCAAGCAGTAACATTTGATTTTTTATGGTTTAAAATATATAAATGTGCTAGCAATAATCGGATGCTCCTTTTACTTTTAAAATTTTAAATAGTATATACCTTACTAGCTTTTGCCGCGACTTCGTCCGCGTGGAATAGTGACTTCCGGCAGATTTTTGGTTCTACCCACATAGTTCCCGTTCTTGCGGGGTTTTCGGAATGTTCGAGTTCCCGCAGAGTTTTCAGGATAAAACCTGTTTTTTTATTCACAATGAAGTACTCGTAACCAACAATATATTTATTTATTTATTTGAATAAAGATTAATATTATTATGTTGATACAACTTAAACAAATTATTTCGACCAAATTAGGTACCATAAAAACGGTTTTTGTGAGTTAATCTTAAAAGATAGACATATATTGTCGCGGACTGTTTTTTAGATCATTAAAAGAGCTATTATTCTTTAGTACATATTTTTTGTGTATCTTGAACCGTTTTCACGGCGCACCCAACGGAAGGCTTCAAAGATGAAATAATTTCTCCCGTTTTTTACACATTTACCATTATATCTTTGCTC